CAATTGGGTGATCTAATCATCTGTATGACAGACTACTTAAATTAGACAATGACTAAAGTTGTATATGTAACTTGTTGTATACTCTTTATATAATTACAAACAGTAGGAACTATCAATGTATATCCTGTATGCAATTCTAATAAAATTTCTTCAGCAATATAAGCCACCTTAATAACAAAAAAATAAAAATAAAATAATTAATAACTATATATATTAAAAATCATAGCTACTTGATCAAATATTAACTGGTTATTTATTGGTTATGATCATATAACTGACTGTGATCAAGCAGTTATAAGTCAATAACTGATAATGACTAACTGATGACTGATTGTAGCTGACTGAACCCATCCCTAGTTGCGAAGGTATGAGTAGTGAAATTGTTAGTACAGAAAAATTTGTAAGTATATGAGAGATTGCAACCTAAATAGTTATTAAAGATTATTATAACTTAAAGAATGAAATAAAATTATGATAAAAAAAAATTTTCAATTCCAAACCTGTCTAACAGCATTTGTATCAGCTTTTTGTGATTTACCCAAATTATTCCTATCAGTATCATAAATATTGATCCTATTTCCATCTTAAAATTTATTAAAATGTATCATTAAGTTAATTTTATAAATACAAAAAATTACACAAATAAATGATCACAAACTCAATTTCTTTAAAATGCATTAAGTAAACATTAACTGTTCTAGCACTTGCAACCAGTACTGCTCACTTCACTAATAGTCATTTCATTGAAAGTTCATTTAGCTGATATCACATGGGGTTAGGGTTAGAGTTTTATTAGTTTCAGATATATATTTTTAGTAAATTGTTACTTGGAGTGATGTCAGCTAAATGAGCTGTCAATGAAATGATTGTTAGTAAAATGATACGGATCCCTTGCAACAGCTATAAAGAGTACTAATCTGGCTAAAATTCCACAAGTTGAAGGAGATGTGAATTTTAGACAAGGTACTACTTGTGTTAACCCAACAGCTAATTCGCATGATGTAGTTATAGCTGAAGCATAAGTAACTAATTATTTTGAAAAAAAAAACAAGCATATTAAATAATTAAGTTTACAGAAATGAAATTTTACTTTTTAAGAATAAAATTAAAGCTTACTAGCAGTTTCCTTCAGACTTATCATAATAGTTTTATTAGTATTACTATAATTTATAGCAATGTTAATACTTTGATTAGCCTATTGCCAGAATATGATGCTTTTAATCTAAAAAATTTCATCAATGAAATTTATATAACTAATTATATTTAAAAAAATGATTAATAAAGAAATATTTGGACGAAACTTATACTAGGATTTGGCATTAACATATCAGTGACAACAACAAGATTAGTCAGTACAAAGTATGACATTCTAAATGGTAAAAATATTGGTTCACTAATGTTTGGGTGAACTGTTGAATCAAGAACTATTATTAAAAATTATTTATTTATATATATTTTTTTTTTTTTTTTTTTTTTAAACAACGAGGTCTATCCTCTAACTCTTTATTTAATTCAAATAAAATGATACAAGCAGTATTACATGTATACAATTAAAAGAAAAAAGGGGAGGTAGGGGTAAGAGCTAATTTACTCTCAACCTAGACTATGCTAGCAAGATCATAGACTACTAGTCTTTATATATTAATGTAAGAGAATTCTGTTCAATATTTGTATATTGTTATAATTTTTGTATAATATATAAATAAGAAAGCAGAATAGTGGTAGAAGGGGTGTTATTATAAAAAGTACTAGAGTAGAAAGCCCTTCAGTATGAGCAATTTGGTAAGAAAGTAGCCAGATTTCATGATATATTGATTTTATAATCAGATAATGAATTAGAGGTACAAATTTAATTTTGTTTGAATATTTGTCAAATAGAGCTAGAGTTGCAGAAGTAATTATTTCTAGAGGAATTTCTTGTTGAATATGGAGATATTTGAATGCTAAAATAAATTCAAAAGTGTTTGTTACTGTTAGATCTAGTTTTTGAGATATTATTAATATAGTGTCTTGGAGAAGAGAGTTTATTGATATTAGGTTTCAGATATAGGAAATTAAGTATGTATTGTTTTCAGGTTCTTTGGAGCACCAAAAACAAAGATAGTTTTTGTGTTTTGATGAATTTCAATAATGTAGAGTGAGATGATTAGGAAGTTCTTCTGCTAATAATTTGACCTTAAAACTTTTTAGTTTAGAGTATGTGGGGTTAGTCTGTAGCGATAGTGGCTTTTCTTCAAATGATAAATATGTTAGTATGCTAGGTTATTGGATATCTCTAATATTAATAGTCTAATATTTGATTCGATTTTGGTTTGCCTATTTTAGATAATTGATAATTTGAAGGTTGTCTTTTGTAATAGTGCAAAGGTAGTATGTGCAAGAAGATAATAGTAGACATAGAATGAATTGGTTGAATAGGAATTCTTAAGATTTTATATTATGCTCGATGAGATTGTCAGGTTTTCCTATATGTTTGAATTCTTTGTCAATATTAAAAGAGAGATTGAGTAGAGATATTATCACTTTAATTGTAAGCAGAATGAAAGCATAGTATAATTTGTCTAGTAATGCTAGTGTGTATATCAGTAGTTTTGCAGTATTTTCTAATATCTGAATAAAAGAAGAATCATTTGAAGTAATTGAAATATTTGTATTTAGAAGGAATGTTGTTGCTAGAAAAGCAAATAAGGTGAGGCATGCTTGAGAGCTATTAGACTAGCTACTGTTATAACAGCCCCATGTTGTTGTATTGTAGTTAAGTAAAGCAATTGCTATTGGTTTGTTATTATAGTATGGTGAATGAGGAGATGAAGATATGTAAATTGAGGAGGCACGTGTAGAGGAATTGTTTGCTGACAGAGTATTCTACCAGTTGATATTAAATAAGGAAAACACATTTAGTGGATGACTAAGTTTAGTAGGAGGTGATAGTATTTTCTTTTCAGTTGTAATAGTGATAGGTTTAACTGATATTAGATTATTGAAATTAGCATGTAGTCTTTTGTGTGAGTCTACTTGTACAGTATAGAGTTTTTCAATTTTGTGTTTAAAGTAGCATCTTTTTGTTTTAGATGTTGAATCTTTTTTTATACATCCTGGTCATGGAATAAGTGTATTATTAATTAAGTGAGTATAGTAGTGAATAGTCATATAGTAGTTGTCAAAGTGATTAGTATGTCCTAGTAGGAAGTCATGAGTAAGAACCCAAGATTTTTTCTTAGGTACCTATTTTGTTAAGCTGAATAGGTTAGGATAGACAAGTGAAGTTATAGGGTTTGCTGTTGATCTAATGAGCTCTTGTATTTCTGTAAACCACTTTGGTATTTGCCCTCTCAGTATCTTGAGTATGTTGTGGTAGAATTCTTGCCAATTAAGGAGTTCTGAGTTATTATAGTTAAGAAACTGTTCAATATAATATATAGAATACTTATTTAGCTATTGTTTCAATATATGTGTTTGAGGGTGATTTGTTAATATTTTGTTGATAGGTGTACCTTTAGTTTTAAGAGGAATTAGCCAGTTTATTTCCTCATTCCTTAAGAACTAAATGTGCAGAGAGTGAATCACAAGGATTAATTGTCCTGTATAGGTGTCTTTTTGTTTTTTTGGTAATAATGGAAGGTATATAAGTATCGAAAGGTTTAATGCAGTAGAGTTTTGTAGTTGTTGTAATTGAATTTTAAGGAATGATGAATTGAAGTTTGGGTGATTTAGGTTCTATCTCCTAGATTGTAGACCAACGCAAGCAAATTTGCCTGCGTTTTTGCATTCATTCAGCTCTGATTTACTTTTTTAAAATGCAAAAATATTAAAAAAAT